TGTTTACTATCCTTGTACTTTCAATTATAGATGAACGAGTTTCGTATTTGATAGTGTATGTACATTGAAGCACACGATAGTAGTGTATGTGTGTTCTCATATATGACATAAAACCGAAACATTTAATGCATGTATTTGATAGTGTACGTACATGAAACACACGTGTACGTGCGTTCTCAGATATGACATAAGCAGAAACATTTAATGCAGAACATTAATTGTAATAGCACCAGACAGAAAGTAAGGGCAATTTCGTAATGTCACCATGTGACTAATTTGTAAGACATAACTCACTTGTGACTTTTTAGCAATTACAAACTCAAATTGTAACATTTTTGTAAATGTCTCTTAGATGTATCTCTATACCCGAACCGAATGGGTCCGGGTAGCCGAAGGGCTACTTGTAACGGTGAGAAATTTGCAAGATGCATAACAGTTTACAGCGTCAGTCTTACTGGTGTTGCATTTGTGGATGTTTGTTTCGCCTTTGGTATGTATCAGTCAGGAATTTGGGAAGATGTGTATGCAAACGCAGGTGGATCAGGAAATGTTGTGCAGTATGTGAGGTCGGCATGCGACACAAATGAGACAACTATAACCTTCGTTTTGGAGTTTGTTTGTGTTGGTTTTTACTTTTTAATAGTCAACGTCCAGTTAAACTTTGTTGAGTTTTCTATTGATCAATTATCTCGCCCATGTTTTAAAATCATGTTGAGTGGTTATTCAAAATCAGTAAACTGTGCTTATTTTTAATCTTCTCTTTCAAATTCGCTATAAAAAAACGGTTCCAAATTAATTCAAAAGAGCTGTTCTTTTCTTCAAAATAAACAAGAGTTAGATTCCACAACAAAAACTCATTTAAGCATATTGATTAAAACCGAAGAAAACATATTGAAAAGGAAAACATAGTAGTGATGAGATCAATCGATTGTCTTCGTGAAACTTGGTAAAAACCATCGAGCAGTAGAGAACGAACCATCAAATTCATGTAGATTCTCCATCTCTTGTGTCTCGATGTTGGGCATGGGCTTCAAATATTGCCACTTTTGAAGCCCATTTCCGAAAAAGGCCCAGCGAACAGAATGGTCCAATAACACTCGGCCCAGAAGAGGAAAGCACGACGAGCTCGGCCCAGAAGGAGGGAGTCTGACGAGCTCGCCTAAGCAACTGATGATTCAAGCCCAAAATAAGCCCAGCCGCCTCATGCATTGAATGACATCAGCACTGGTCCCAAGGAAGCCCTAGTACCTTATTCTCTCCACTTTTAGTATAAATAGGGGTCCCCATCCCATGAGTACATGCATCACTTTTCCACTTTTGGGCAAGTACAAGGGAATTTGAGAGCTTAAAGCAATCATTCTCTAACACCAAAAGGGAAAGAATCACCTGATCGAGCCTGATTGATCAGAAAGGACAAGAACTACTCGTGGAAAGGCTGCGCAGAGTTCGTACTTATCGCACCGGCATCCCGACCTCGAGTGCGCTTATCATCAGGTTCCGACCTCCGATTCACCGACCTCGTCGTCCAGTTATTCAGTCAGTTTGGATCTCTAACCCGATCTCGTTTTCAATTACAGGTTCCGACCTTGAAAGCGACGGTCTCATAAACTCACTCAGATACTCAGATAACCGAACACAAGGTTCGTCAGCCGACCTAAGCTTCCGAGCTCAATACACAATCTTTTTCTAGCATGTACAATTCTCTATGTAGTAGCCCGTTTCCGAGTTAATATCAATAAACGAGAATTTCCGATCCTTTACCGTATATAAATTTATTGTCGAACTCATGGATAACACTCGAGATTGAAGAGAAGTATCTCATTATTTGGGTTCTTTTCAAGACTCCTATTGAAATAGATGGAATTTCTCTTGAGTCCCTCCAAACGTACCATTGGCAAGCACAGTTATGCCGAGATCAAAAAAGCTTTGCCTCGTCGCCCAAAGAATCAACTTGTTCAGGTTTTTTTACCAAACCTGATGAATAAAGCTTATAACTGGTTTTTTTAGTGTCTCCAAAAAGAGTTCCATTATATGCCAAATATTCCTCTGTCTTTAGTTGTAATCGTTAGATCCGACATTCATGTTCTTCTTTACTTGGCTCTTACTCTTATCTTATTGACCGATGTTGAGGATAAAATGATATGGTCTATAGATGGAGTTGCTTGTGACTCTTTTGTAAGCTCTGGAACAAAATCAGACCGAATGCTCCCTTAGTTCTCCTGGTTCAAATCAGTCTGGCAGCATAGAGGTATTCCCTGACAAATTTTTGATACATGGTTGTTTATTCTAGACAGGAATCCGCCTCGCGATCGCATGATTGGTTCGAGACTTCATGCCAGCGTTCTCTATCTCGAGATTTTAGAAAGAGAGAGATCGTCGTTTACATACGAACTCAAATTGGATACTAAAATTTAATGCCATGTTGTTGATATGTATCAGTCAATGCAGAGCTGTTCTTGAAACTTCGGTATAAATCAGTCAATGCAAATGCCCTGTTGTATGCAAACGCAGGTGGTCAGGAAATGTTGTGCAGTATGTGAGGTCGTCAACGTGCAGTTAAACTTTGTATAATCTGCTAATATAATCAACTACAACCTTTGTTTTACCATTTTCATTTCTCACAAAGTGTCATAACTCATTTGGAACTTGTCCCTGTAATCAACAATGACAAATAAGCATTTAAATTTTCTATTGATCAATTATCTCACCCATGTTTTTTATTCATGTTGAGTAGTGGCTATTCCAAATCATTAAAATGTGCTTCTTTTTTTAATCTTCTCTTTCTAATTCGCTATGAAAAACGATTCCAAATTAATTCAATTGTGTTCCTTCAAAAGTTAAACAACAGTTATATTCCACAACAAAATTCACTTAAGCAATACCATTTTGTACAAATTTGCTAGTTTGATTTGGATTTTTAACCAATTCTGTACATGACTTTTAGTGTATGACAACATATTGATTAAAACCGAAGAAAACATTGTTTTGCAATTAATCAACTGGCTGCGTGAAACTTGGTAAGAACCATTGAGCTCTAGAGAGTTGAACGGACAAACAATCAAATTTGTGTAGTTGCTCCAACTTTTGTGTCTCTAGATTGAAGAGAAATATCTCATTTGGGTACTTGTCATAACTACTATTATTAAAATAGATTGAATTTCTCTTGAATCCATCCAAGCCATTGGCAAGCACAGTGATGCCGAGATCAAAAAGCATTGCCTCGTCGCCCAAAGACTCAACTTTTTCAAGGTTTATTGAAGAAACCTGATGAACACAACTTGTAAACGCCGAAAGACCATTCACCCGACCCATATCTAAACTGTTTTTGAACCTTGAGGACATCTCCTGTTACCGTGACTACAAGTTTTGTCGCATAAACTAATGGATTGTATCCAGAAAAACCAAAGATCGTCTTAAAACTTTTCAGAGGACCCACACATTGAAATGTTTCTCGTGGAATCTCTTCAGAAAAATCGAAGATTTTGATGACACAGCCTTCGTGGCTTAGGAAGTAAAGCTTGTGATCCTTGTAGGCCATGTCAACACAATGTGAAGTTTCCGGAATTTGCTTCCACGAGGTATCTCCATTCTTGGAATAAACCACACACCATCTTGAACCACTTGAAATTCTCCATACTACAACATAATCTTTGGTTTTGTCGTCACTTCAAAACACAGGGTATCGTATAATACTAACACCGCTGGCCTCTGTCCTTTTGTGATCGTTTGAAATAATAAACCAATCATCTAAATGTCGCTCGATCTTTATCGTTCCAAGCTACGATTCCACAGGAGGTAGAGTGATCCTAGCGTGTGTAAAGAGATTCACAATGTAGAGATTAAACAGAGGTTCTTGCATCAAGAGCCAATTTCCATAGGTTGCTTGACAAACACTCTTTGCGAATTCCAAACCTAGATCTTGTGTTTTGTAAAGTTTGTCTTTTTGCTCGGGATTGAACAACGTGCAACAATTGTTCTTGTTGTTGTTTTGCTCGGGGAAGAGAATCAGCCATGGGATCTGATTTTTGGGCACAGATTGTCTCGAAGCAGAGTACCAAGACGAACACACTAACTTACCTCGTTGAAAGTCAGCAAGGCCGAGACGTTCGAACACCAGGGCTGGTTCTAGGGTAGGGCAAGGTGGTGCATTTGCACTACCTTCAACCAAATTTTACAATTTTTTTATTGGGTTTTACAGGCATTTTTTCAAAATAGAGTATTTTCACAAATTTTAATAGATTTTAGGGAATTTTTTGCAATTTTGCACCATGTCCATTATGATATTGGGTCGGGCCTGTCGAACACCAAACTCAAGAGATCAAGAGGAAGCTCCGACCATACGGATTTGGGTCGTGTATCTCGTCTGAGATGCTCGTGAGAATTAGGTTTATGCTTCTTCTTCATGGCAAATCGAGAGAAACAAAGGAATGAGCTCGTGAGAATTTAGGTTTCTAAACTGAAACAGTTGAAACATATGGGCTTGTTTTACTTGGTACGAGGTTGTTTTGTCTCGGTTAAATATGGGCTTTTTCCGGCTTCGTATTTATTATAGCCCGCTAATCAATCATTTGTATTTAT